TTCATTTTGGGAGGACTTAATGTTTGTATTAGTTATAAGCAGAAGTCCTTGGAGAATTCAAACTATCAATTTCTTTTTGTAAATCGAAAATCTACTCTGAATTGTAAAATAAAAATGCAATAAAACTAAGACATTTAATTAGAAAATTTTTAATTACTTTTATGAATAATATATATTATGAACATTATTGTCTCAAGAAAAAATAAACATTCGATGAATAATGAATTATTACAAGAATTGTTTTAATTTTTTTTAATTTTAATTAGAATAATTTATAAAGTTTGAAATCTTTTAAAATTCTGTATTCATTTTTACCGGTTAATTGATATTGTTATTTAGTAAAAACTATATTTACTGATTATAAATGGAAAAGCTTACTACAATTCATTGATCCACAGTATTTTAAAAAGTATTTTGATTTTTTTGGCGTGTGTGCGTATATAAATGTGCTGATTCTTGTAAAAACGGACATTCTTACACGACATTATCAGACAATAAGAGCAGTAACTATAGTAAATTTAAAACAAAAGTGCCTAAAATTCAATAAAATATTAGATTATTAGAACATTTTCTGAAATTTTAAAGATTACTGGATAGTTAAAAATTATATAAAATAGGCGCTCACGTTATATTTCTCAAGTAATTTTTCAGATATGTCCCCTATATAAAAAAAAAAATAGTTAAATTACCAGTTGTCAATAAAGCTCTCAGACTGTTAATAAATTGTTCAAAAGCTTGAATAAAAACCTACCGCGTGTTTAGAAATACATTTCTACGATATTTTAAACTAAAAGTAATATTTGTTTCAAATAAAGTTTCAAAAAAGTATATTTTATTTTTGAAAGATTTTTTTAGTAAAGAGAATTAGATTGTACTAACTGATGGCAAAATATATCTAAAATAAACTCCTAAAAGTCAATTCAAATTAGTTTTGAAATACGGGAAATTATTTTGCTTATTGAAAATATTAAATCTATTAGCCTGAAATTAAAATTAAATAAAAGCTTTAAGAAAGTTTTTTTTTCATTTAAAAAATCATTTTAAATCTTAGGTATCCTGTTTCTTTGGGGGGGTACCTATATATATATATATATATATATATATATATATATATATATATATATATATATATATGTATAAAAATGGTAATCCGTATGGAATTTCGAAGAGGATAAAGATCCAAGGAGAGCTCTATGTCGAGACGGAGCAAAATTATTAATTAATGAATATCAAACACTTAAAATCCCACAGGTAATAATCTTTATTTCATGAAAGCTATAAAATAGACTTCAATCTTTCAGACCTCTAAACCAAATATAGCTTTCATAAAATAAATGTTATTACCTATGGTATTTTAAGTGTTTGATATTCATTAATTAATATATATATATATATATATATATATATATATATATGCACACACACACACACACTCACTTATGGAAAAGTGTTCAATATCAGGTTCGTATGTATGTATGCTCATGCGTATGTATGTATATCATGTGTGTATGTATGAAAGTGCTCATTATCATGTATGTATGCGTCTAATCTCGGATTGTTTATATGGGTGTGTTCGTGTGAACTAAAATGCGTTCACCTGTATGTATATATATATATATGTGTATGTATGCATGTATGAGAGTGTCATCCTAAACCGACAGAGAGAAGAATTCCCCCTCCAACCACCAAACATAATCAAACATAAACAAGCATAAATAGATCCAATGTTTAAAACATAAACCAGTTTGTCTGATGATCGCAATAGCGTGAAACCCAGTCACAAACTCATATCCATACAACTCTAACTCTCTCTGTCTGTCTGTCTGTCTGTCTGTCTGTCTCTCTCTCTCTCTCTCTCTCTATATATATATATATATATATATATATATATATATATATATATATATATATTGTTATGGGACCTTACCCATAATAACATAATGAACTATCCCATACGTAATAAATACTGCGCCTCAAGAGGAAGCAGGAGTTCAGTCCGAAGGGAGGAACCGAACGAGGCTACGCCGAAGGGTGGAGTCATTTTAGGGGAGGTAAACCGACCCTGAACTCGTTTATACGGGTTCAAAGGGCATATTTTTGGCCGAGTCCACGGGCTTGGAGATCGCATGTTAAACTGGCATTGTGCCACATGATGTCCTCGTGGGTGGGTGACTAAATACCGTTCAGTCTGAAGCCTGGAGTGAAGTCCGTCAGAAGTCTGTCAGTCAGTCAGAACGAGCGAGTCAGTCAGTCGAGTCAGAGGCAGTCCGGAACAGAGTCGCGCTCAGACAATTACTACTAAACTTGATTGTTCGTACTAACACTTTCTACTTCTCTGTATATATTCCTGTTTGTAATTCCATATACGTGTTCGAGTTCTTCTTTATTGGTTCTACCTTGGACTATCACCGGGGTACAAGGAACCGGACCATAATATATATATATATATATATATATATATATATATATATATATATATATATATATATAATATAAAAGG